TGGGGTCCTCCTTAGCCTCCCACTCGCTCTCCATTTGGGTTTGGCGGTGTGGGGTTTCCTCTCCAGCCTTTGCTCTCCTTGAACTGAAAAGGAAGCTGACATCCAGGTGAGAAGAGACAGGGAGAGCCGGAAAATGTGTACACACACACGGGTTCATCTCGTTTCACTGTGCCTAGACAGGTAAAGCCGGCAGCCTCTTTGGGGGAGGGGGGCTGGCACGCTAAGGGGTCCTGGAACTTCTGCTGCGCCATCGGGTTGACACGTCCAGGGTCCTGGAACCCAGGTGCCAAGCATGTTCTGCGTCACTGGCCCTGCAGAAGCCAGGGCGCCCCTCGTAGGCAGCGCCTGGCACAGGCTCTCTCCCGCCAGCCAAGAGGGGCTGCCAGCCACCCATCTTCCCACAACACCTCTAGTCCGAGCAGGTGGTGCCACAAGGGTCTCCGGAGCGGAAGAGGTTGTAGATGCTGACCAAAGGGAACATGGCCAGGGCCCCCACCATGGAGCCGAGCTGCACCACCGCCCCGCACCAGACAAGAGCGCTGTGGCCCTCGTCCCGCAAGATGATTCCGATCATCAGCTTGACGTAGGAAAGGATGCCTATGAAGAGCACCCAGCACACCACCTGCAGGAGAAATTGGGGATGGGGGGGAGTGTCACCAGGGAGCAAAAGGGCACAGAGTAGGCACCCAGCGCCACTTCACAGGAGTTCAGCAGGCGGGCTTTGGCAGGGGGAAAGAGTCGGCCGCATTCAAGAAGCCCGCTGCCTGGTAAACCTCTCGTCTTGAGCGCCCTGGCATCATTCCCCTGCCGCCCAAGCACAACCCACTCAAACCGCTTTAATGGGTCAACGTAGAAATGAAAGGAAGGGCATCCTCCCCCCCCCACTTGAGCCATTTCCCCTCTCCTGACAGCATTTCCTCAGAGACCAGTCTGCGCCCCAGACTTGTAAATGCACCCCATCTTCACTAGCCAAGGACCAGTCACAAGATGAAGACCCACTGAAGGCAAGGCCTCTCCGCGAGGAAACTCGCTTTGTCAGGGTTCAATCTAGGAATCCTCAAACAACGTCCTCAGAGCACTAGATGATTTCTAACAACACTCTTTGGTAGTTTGAGTCTTGGGGGGGGAGTTGTAACAGCTGGCATTTCCCCCCTGATTGGGTTAATTTCAATGTGAGATTAATATGGTATGATCGACAAAGTTATCTCATTTCACGGTGAGATTAATCCTATAAGGGAAAAATGTCAGCTGTGACAGACCATAATGGACTCAATTTACGAAAGAGTGTTGCGATCTTCTTGTGTTCTGAGGATTTTGTCTGAGTGTCGTCCATTTGACTTTGATAACCTAATGTGACAAACCCATGTCTTTCAGCACTGAAGGGAGCACCTCTTCTAAATACATGCCAAGTACATTGTCTGTCTTCACCCTTGATTCCTAAGTACAATGGATCAGCAGGGATGACACATTGATGAATTCTCAGAGAAGAGCAGTCTTTATATAGGGCCCAGTGTTTGGGGTATTTTGTCTCACAGGCCTGAAAGAGTCTACAGCACCTCTGGGTTTCCTTCGCCCTCTGAGGCTGTCTGTGTGTATCTGCGAGACCAGAGGCAGCCCTTTGGCTCAAGCACCCCCTTCCTTATTTTTGGGGGAATGTACAAAGCTACCAGGGGTTCAATGCTTCTCCTACGGCTTTCTTTCTTTGTTTTGTTGCTTCGCTTGTTTTGATTTGATGATGCCAGTTTTATCTTCTAATCGTTCCATGTGAGCAGTGCCCTTGGGGACGGGGGTGGGGGAAGGAGATGCGCTTCTTTAAAAATTCAGTTTAATTTTTTTAAAAAATGTGTCCTCTTCCTCCTCCTTCTCCTCTCTCCTCAGCCCCCTTGTTGACACTATGCGACATTCAGTTGATTTGGATTCCGAGTGTGGGAGCCCGTCTGGTGCTCGGTGTGTGTGAGATTGTGAACTCCCCTCCCC